CCGCACCTCCAATTAGCACGGTTGGCTACTTAGGGTGTGAAAAAAGTTCAATATATACACATAAGTTACAGACGGCCGCAAAAGCGTATCTGAAAGCGCACGATGCGGTGACCGTCTCTGTTCGACAGCCAGCCAAAAGCTGCTGCTGCGAGGATGACCGGACTTCGTTTGATGGTTTATGCTCCTTGACGAAATCAGCAAGGTATTGCGGTTAATTTGTGGCAAGCTTGCCACAAATGCGAGGGTCGCCTCTGCGAGCGCAGCGCTACGGCGGTGCCGTGTTGACTGCCGTGGTCGCCGTGTCGCCGGTCACCCCGCGCAGGGGCCTGTTCCTCATCGACCCCAACGGCGTCGTGCGGCACGCGAGCGTCAATGACTTGCCCGTTGGCCGCTCCGTGGAGGAGACCTTGCGTCTCGTCAAGGCCTTCCAGTTTGTGGAGGAGCACGGGGAGGTGTGCCCGGCCAACTGGACTCCCGAAGCTCCAACGGTAAAAACGCACACTCGCGGACGTTATCGCTGGAATACCAGAGTTACATTTTGACATATGCAGTAAAAAGAGCTTTATAGCTCATCGGATTCCTCCAGTACAAAAAAATATTCTGATTCTATTCTGATGTATCCTCCAAAACACAAATACAAAGTATTTGTTTGTCCATCGGGCAATTGACTTTCGAGACCAAAATTATCCATTGGCTTTTTTTTCCAGACCAATTTTATCCAGCAACAAGCCTCACTCTGAGACCCAGAAGGGTGAAACCAGATCAGAGTTTGCTTGATTAAACAAATGCTGCTGGACATTGGTCTGGAAAGCCAATTGACTGACAGACTAAAACACATCTGCATGCATGTGCAGATACAGAACAAAGTTCTGTTATTTGTTTATACTCATAATACTCCACAGCAACATAGAATGGAATTGTGTAGCCTAAGAAGACTTCATTGCATCAAATTAACTTAAGTGTAAGTGCATTCATGAGAAGGCTACATCTAAATGTATATTTTTCAGCGTTTTGTTACATTGTAAAAGAGGGCCTTATGCATTTCACATATTAGACACACAAATATGTACAGTAATGTATATATTGTGATGATTACCCTATCGATCACCATACTACTCAGGGGTAACATAACATGCAATAATAATAAAATAAAAGTATATTTTTTACCAGGTTCAGCTATATAATATACAGATAACTTTGAAAGGAAGTATTGCCATAAAAATCCACGTGTGTGTGTGTGTGTTTCAGATCAAGCCAAACCCTCAAGACTCACTGGAGTACTTTGAAAAAGTGAACTGAAGAATTGAAACTGGAATGTAGAGGTTCTCATCGTCTATAGCAAGACGTTAATATTGTTACAGCTTGAACTGAACTACCTTTGGTATTCAGTCTTTAGCGCTTATCGACTCAAAGTGTCTTCGAATCAAATAAATGTATTTTGATACAAATACGCGCTTTATTAAACACGACCTGAACATAGCAGTTGAATTCATCATGTTGACAACATTGCAATGACCAATCTGTGCAACTTAATATCAGCGTAATATCTCTGTTTACCGATGTGTGCACCATTACAGTTGACGGAAAATTCTGCTTTAATTTGGTTGACGAGATGTGTGTGTGTGCAAACCTATAAAGTACACGCTGAATGAATGATTGTGGGTTGTTGTGTTGTCGATGGTATGCTGTGGTTAAAGAGCCATGAAACATTTGAAAGCCGAGTAGCCACTTGCAGGGGCATCAAAACATCACTGAAAGCGCGTCATTGACTGCCATGCTACGGACATGCTGGATAACTAACCTACGTGGCATGCGATAGATGTTTACTTGTAAAGTTTATTACTGGCCTCAGGTGTAGTGAGATGATAAAATAGCGATAGATGAGATTGCGGTGTGGTTAGATGAGAGGAAGACATACGGGCTAGCAAGACGAGATAAAGTGATGTTAGAGAAAGAATACAGCTATGTATGCAACATGTATATGAGGCATGTGATAGATGTACGGTAGGAATCCATAGAGATCTACAAGATGATTGATTCAGAAGAGAGATGAGCGATATAAACGAATCTACAGTTTTCCTTCACTTTATGCCACGTAATTGCAAGGCCCGCGGGTCACTGGTGACCTTTAGTGCGGCACCTGACAATACACAAATAGTAAAACATCCCCTCCCCACCATCATCGTGCTGCTGTCAAATCCCATGGTTTCAAATGTGTGGCGGCCCTCACACTGATGTCTTATCGGCAAAAGTGCCCCCCTCCCTCAGAAAATTAGTGAAGAACACTGATTTATGCGGTAATAGATGCATTCCAAAAATAATGGTGCACCGCACGAGGAGACGGCTGCATGCCGAGTAGCGCGCACAGCGCACACGAAATGTCCCACGTCCGACCTCAGCCAATGTTGGGTAAAAATTACGTGAGCCGCGTTTTCGCGAAATCGCATAAATCCAGCCTGCATAGAGCGAGGGAAACTGCACGGTGTAGGTCTTTACATAAAGCACGAAATTGTGGTGAACTCAAGTCATACCCTACCAGGCACACACACATACTGACCAAGACGAGTAAGCTAATTATAGTAGATATTTCACACTTGTCCGACGTAATTGGTTTAATTTAAACAAGCTGCAAAAATGTGCTACCCCGCTAGGCAATGGCATTACCCCTAAAGACCATACTCAACACACACGGCTTGCTTTTCTCTCGTAGCTACACGGTACACGTGATGTTTTTTTGCCTTGTCAGTGGAAAGGCGTACAACTTTCAGGATATAAATACACAACTTATATTTTACGATTAGGATACATTCTGCGGCCGTCTGGTACGTTCCTTCCAATATTCGGAAGCCACTATTCACTTTGAAATCTAGATTGAAAACTAATTTCTTTAGAACTGATTTTGTGTTTAGTTGTCGCCTTTAGTTGTCGCCCCCAGGACCTCCAATTAGCACGGTTGGCTACATACGGTTCTACAGAAGTTCAACATACATGTACTAATAATATGGGTTTTCCCCTTTTTTCTGGCAACAAAACTGAAACCTTTTTACAAGGAATCATGTTTACATTAACCACAATACCTGCGGTCAGAATGCAAACAAAAAACACTGATAATATATGCATTGTCCTTGACTGATTGGTCCACACCAGAGACAGCTTTCCTTAGAGCATAGTCTCATGCGGTGTTCGACCAGATGACACCAAAAGGCGCACAGCTCAAAGACAACGCACCATCAGAGTAATGAGGGCTCCTTTGCCAGTACCCAAAAATAATAGGGTTTTTCTCCCCTTTTATTGTTATATTTTGGTACTGGCAAAGGAGGCCTCGATGTAGATCCATGCACTGTGTGGAAAAAAAAGCAAGAGGAACGGGATCCCGCGATGGAAGTCCCCTTGACGGACACGGAGGGCATGGCTGAAGATGAGCAGCAGGAAGGAAGAAGAAGCGTTCTGCATAAGGGGGAAAGGAAGATTGACTGCGCCAAGATGTCAGGGATGGGAGGGCAGAGAAAGAGTGGGCAGGAGTAGAGGGGAGGGATTTAGAGTGGGCGTCGCCACACCAATATTAGATAGCTTATCAAATTGAAATCCGATATATGAGACCGTTCTAAACAATGTGCTTTGCAAGAGTAACCGGCGAACACGAACAAATGACCTCGCGCATGCAGAGCGTCCGGTGAATTGTTGTTTTTGTCGCTTGTAGTTACCAAGTCGTTCGGATAACCTCACAAAAAGGACAATTGGTTAAAATGTTGATGTTTATTATTAATACATTTATTGCTCAGAATCATGTTGGGTACTATTCGGTTGGAACAAAATTCAACAAGGGGTAGAGTAGCCAAATAATGTTGAGAAACCTCTGCTCAAGATCTCCCTCGAGTGGACTACCCTTCCGCCAACAGTGGCGAGGGCAAGTAATTGCAGGGCTGCGCCTCTACCCCGCAGTATTTGCCCGAGAAACGAGGACACGTGTCGTGATCGGGCCTCCCGTGCGGTTTGTGCGTTCGCCGGAAAAGCGGTCACCAGGGTTCTGTGACTGTCCCCCGAACCGGCCACGCCACAAGGTTTCTTCATTGCGAGGCCACCAAGGGAGCCACTGGAGGCCACCCCCCGATAATAAGCAACAAGAGAGAACAGCCACCACCACCATCATCACCATTGTGCTGCTGCCATAGGTGTCACCCATACGGTTTACCCCGTATTCTTGTACAGGGAAATTGAGTTTGCAGGTCCATTTGGCGTACAGCCCTTTCAGTACGGGCAAAACTAAATTATTGTCTATTTGTTTGTGTTTCTCCCTTGTGATGGGACTTTGTAGAATGAATGTTGAGGTTTATAAGGGCACGGGGTGACCAATACCGTCTGAATTGGCCTGTAACAAGGGAGGGCATTAACATGGAGTTGACTTACCAGGTCTGCTGGTGTCAAACCCACGATGGCTTAAAATGTGTGGCGGGGCCCTCGTCCCACCGGTGAAGTCTTATCGGCGAAAGAGTCCCCCCCCCCACCCCCTCCTCTAAAAACTCACACTGCGGTAACCGATTAGAGGCAGGTAACTGATTATAAACCGGTAACCGATTAAAGACCGGTAAATGAATAGAAACCTCTTCTTGGTTCTTTCGGTAAAGTCACGTAGAAGGGAAATAATAAAAATAAAACATAACTATTATGTTTTATTTTTATTATTTTCTTTTTATTATTTTATTGTAATAAAATTATAAAAATAAAACATAATAATTATGTTTTATTATTATTATTTCCCTTCTACGTGACTTTACCGAAAGAACCAAGAAGATGAATCCCTGTAGGCACGAAAGCTTTAAATCGAAGTTTGAATAGAAACCGGTAACCGATTAGAGGCAGGTGACCTATTATAAACCGGTAACCGATTATAAACCGGTAACCGATTAGAGACCGGTAACCGGTTCGCGGATCGAGGCGCTGGGCGTGGCCGCAACTCGGTGACCCCCCCCGAGCCACGCCCCCCGCGGGGTCACCGCGCACTCGTCTGCGGCCTCTCTCGCCGAGTGCGCGTCGCGCTCGTCGCTCAACAACCTCCCCGGGCTCACTCGGCTCCCTCGTGCCTCCCGACTCCGCGGGGCCGCTACTGCTACCGCTGCTGCTGTTGTTGTTGTTGTTTGGTTCGCCGTCGACATCGATGGGTTTCTTTGTTTTCCCCCGAGAAAGAGGAGCCGCCGTGAAGATGTGAAGCGCGCGCGCGGTACGTGCGGGTGCCGCTCGCTACCATCCACTCCGACACCCTCGCCTCCTCCTCCTCCCCCCTCGTTCTCTCTCCTTCACTATCTCCTCTCTCCTTCACTATCTCCTCCTCTCTCCTCCACTACCTCCTCTCTCCTCCACTACCTCCTCTCCTCCACTACCTCCTCTCCTCCTCTTACGTCCTCTCTATTCCACTCTCCCCTCCCCTCTATCATCCCTCGTTCTCTCTACTACTCTACTCTCTCCTCCACTCTCGTTCTCTCTCCTTCACTATCTCCTCCACCCTCTCATGTCAACTCTCCTCCACCCTCTCCTCCTCTTACGTCCTCTCTCTTCCACTCTCTCCTCCCTTCGTTCTCTCTACTCCACTACCTCCTCCACTTTCTCGTCCTCTCTCCTGGCAGCCGCCTCTCTTCTCATCTTACTCTCACCACTCTCATCGTCTTCAGCTTTACCCACGCTCCGTGTTCTATTCTCCACTCCTCCCTGCCCCTCACCCCTCTCTCCTGTTCCCACTCTCTCCTCTCACCCCCCCCCCCCCCCCCATTGTTCTCTCATCAACTCCTCATGCTTCACGCTGGCCACTGTGTGGGAGAGTGAAGGGAGTGGAGGCCCAGGACCGGTTCACATATTACTGCCACTAACGTTAGCCCTGATTGGGACGACAACTCGGGTCACCAGGTTCACTCCGCAGTCGACTAAACCACCGCTCCAAACGCAGAGCCGAACTCTAGAATCAATGTAATGCATCATCGGCAAACCTGCACGGTTATGTGGTTGCTGCTGTTGGGTGTCTCTGCGATGTGTTCAATTCCGACCTTTTAATAACTCCTCACCAATAATAGGAACGCCGCTAAGGTCACACTGCTTCGAATGTACAGCAGAAACAACAACAACGTGGGAGTTCCCATGGCTGACATGTCTTGCGAATTGTTTTTTAACAAGTATAACGTGCTTACCCACTCCTACTGGAGATCTCTGAGCAAAGAGCTTTATAGCTCATCGGATTCCTCCAGTATTAATACTCTCGTATTCATTTGATGGCCATCTGAGACCATCAACAACAACACAAGAGCTGTCATCCTGTAGTTTAACCACCGGTGGATCGAGTCTCGGTCATAATTAATGACACCAGGCTTCGGCACCTTGACGGGACGAATCCACTGATTGATTGATTGACAGCACTGCTGAGTGCTGGGGGCATATTTGACGACACTTCACCACGCCTGGTCCGCTGCGTGTTGGTGGCGCTTTTAGACGTGGGAGCATGGAGGTTACAGTACGTACGTGTACAGTACAAACATGTTTTACTTGTACTGCCCTCTGCTGTCCAAAACGTCGCCCGGGTGCTGAAACTAATGGGATACATATATCTCATTGTGGACGAGGTGGGATGTTTTTATGAACGTGGCGTCACGGGATCTTGAACGTCCGCAGTTATATCACTGCCAACATCGGTGGTGTATATCTGAACTGATCCAGTGCCTCCTCGAGGTCAACTCAGCCAAGAAAAGAAACGAGTACCTGGTGCAATGTGGAAGCGTCACAATTGGGGAGACAAAGGTGGCCTGGCACGGTGTTGGCCACTCTCACCCCCTCGTGTGCCGTGCCGGCCTAGTACAGGGACTTACGAACTTTCAGAGAAACGAACAAATCTGTCCGTATGTCCAGTTGCCTGTTTGGACCGAGAGTTGAAAGTTCAACCGGCCCGCGAAATAGATGGCGGTGTTGGCATCTGCATCTACATCTACAGAACGTGAAGAACCAGTGGCATCTACATCTGCAGGGAGATTATACCACTTTAAGGCCATTCTCCGTGTTTAGTGTACATGCCGTACAGCATTTCAGGAATCGAGCGGAGTAAAGTTGGACTTGCGAACAGACCTCTGAAACCTATCTCGTTCGTAAGTAGAGGAGTCGCTGTACAGTATAATGGTAAGAAAATCCCTGTGAACCACAAATGTGTACAAATAACAGGGTCCCTGCAATTCATCACAGAAAACTGGTGTTACTGTCACAATTTTTTTTTTAGCATATGCAGTTTTGTGTAGGAATATAATTGTGCAGATATATTTTGAATGGACATAATATACTGCTTCCCATGGCCTTGGTTGTGTTAATATTAGTTTCAGTAACCTTAGAGTTTTAGCAAATTCAAAATGTGAAGGTGTAGCCCCTCTACAGTATTTTGTCTACTCTTCTCCAATGGACAGATAGCTTGAAAGAAGTGGGAGTAACCCATACCCCACTACACGACTAACTTTGGTGTACCCATTTATATACTATAAGCGGGAAGTGCCCGGGGGAAAAATAGATTTAAAAAAAAACTTCTCAAAACTTAAAAACATAACGAACACAAATGAAAAGAAAACTTTTATCATTACCTCATTATCTATAATTCAAATAAAACTTACACTCGCGCGCCAAGATTCAATTCCTGAAATCGCGCAAAGGACTTGAAGCTTGTGGATTTCTTTAGAATCGGCCTATTCCCATTTAATGGATACCACAAACGCTCACCAGATATCGATTATTGCCAGTCCTGTATGCGGGTTGACGCCACACACTTAATGGTCATTTCCCCCCCCCCCCCCACCAAAATACAAAAAAAATTCTAATTTATACTTTTTGCATTGTGTATAATCTGGAAACTACCCACATGCCAAATTTAAAGTTTGTTGCATGTCGGGAAGTATGCTAAACATTTAGAACAGACACACATTCACAAATTTCCCGTTTATATATAGATAGATTGTATGGACAGAGGTGTGTGGATTCAAGAGACTTTGTTGTTGCAACTCCCATGCTTGGAGATCAAACCTGGGCCCTCTGGATTGCAAGTCCAGTGTGCTAATTGACACCTACACACAACATGCGTAGACAGAGGTAGGTGTCAAATCTATGAATAATCTTTGTTTTTTTATTGTTGAAGGTAAAACACTTGTGGCTGGAACCTCTCGCTGCCAAAGCTGCGTCCTGTCACCGCTTGCCGTACGAATTGTAATTTTGAAAAGGTAAGTTAGCTTTGCGTATTGTACATTGTTGTGCTATTTTTGGTTTTTCACATTTTACTGAACGCTTAAGTAGAAATACTGTCATCCACGCACAATGGTTGAGAACATTTTCTGGGATTGTATGACACTACGGGCCATTTTTACCTGTGGCACGGCATCACCACGCCCCTGTGACATTGCACTGTGTAATGCAGGATGTAACGCCTGGTGTTGCTGCTTAAAAAAAATAAACTCGTCCAATGTTGACCAAACGTATTAAATGTTAATCAACCTCAGTTGCTTGCTCACCTGCGTACAGTCTGTTCTCCTATAACGCCGCGTGTTGTCATGACATGAATTTGATCTAACGCGATTAATGTATTGGGGAACACATTGTTTGTAACACGGATGCGAATTGGGTATAACGTGATTCAGTGAACAGAACTACGTCGCACGAGTCGGAATAAGCGGTAGTACGGCTGCCTCGGCGTAGCATCATCATCTCATTACTACCAATATTCGTTCGTTAGTTTCTCAATCCGCTTGTCCTGGTAAGGGTCGCGGCGGCAGCATGTTGAGTTGGGCGGTCCAGACCTCCCTTTTCCTGGCGATGAACTCCAGCTCTTCCAGGGGAATTCCCAGGCGTTCCCACGCCAGCCGAGCGACATAGTCCCGCCAGAGCGTCCTGAGCTGGCGCCGGGCTCTTCGCCCAGTACCAATATTTGTCAAAAGTTGGAAATCGACTGCTTGCCACAGATTGACTGAAATGACCCTATCCCTGAAGTGATCGAAACGTCGTGATTTTGTTATTATTTTAATTATTTTTTATATTTACGTGGCTTTACCGAAAAACCCAAAGAATATGAATCCCTGCAGTCATGAAAGCTTTAAGTCAAGATTCATACCAAACATTGTTTTAAGAGTAAAAAGACAAAAGTGAAGTTTGGAAAGATGGCACGATTACGTTATAATGTCATGGTGATGGGCTTGCCTCTCCTTGGTTGTCGGTGTACGAAAGGTCACATGAAGGTGTCAAGCACTGTGGCGATGTGGCAAGACTGGCTGCTGGTGGCGCTGTCACTGTTGCTGACCATCTCGTGTGTTGTTGCGTTCATGCTGTGCGGTACGTGATTCATTCCTGACGAGGATTGTTTTTTTTTATATAAGTTGTTTAGCATTTGTTGGGAACGTGTTTTCATGGCCAGGTAGATCGAGTGGCTCGCAGTCAGAGAGTTGAGAATTTAAATCCTGGTTGGCGGTGTACTCAGCCAATCATCCCTCTGGGGGTTGATAAAGTGGGTACCACGTTGTAGCAAAGTTAACAGTGGTTGTCGCACGTGTTTAGTTTGTTGTCCTTCCCCATACCTCTGATTAGCACGGTTGGCTACGTATTCTTCGAAAGAAGTTCAATATACATATGTATGAACGCTTGCCCTCCATAGGAATGTGGAATTTCTACCATTGCTACAATGCTCAAATCACTTTAGCTTTTTTGTTTGTGTATTATTGCCTATTGTGGCAACAACACATCACATGGCAACATCCCAAATACCTAAATAGACTCCAGCCTACAAGTAAATTATATTTTTTATTGTACATCATTTCATATAGGTATTGTTTTTGGAGCAACAAGATGACATGTACAAATCAAAATATATGGGAATAAGGTTGTACATCTATACAACATTTGTTTTATATTTAAGTAATGTTTTTGTAATTCTTTCACTACGAGCCTTTTGCTCGTCAAAGGACGGGTGTATTTCAGTAAATCTGAAACTCACGTGATGTGAGGGTTCTGCCTTTGTAGTGAGGGTTGGAAGTTGATGTCAAGGAGGGGGGAGGAGGCACCTCGGCCCCCATGTGGAGTGACGTCAGCCGATAATTATTATGAATGGAGGGGTGTCCATTTGGATGACGTCACCTGCTCATGATTATTAATGAGGGGGGAGGCTGCTCCATGTGGAGTGGCGTTACATGCTCATGATTATTAATGAGGAGGTGTGGGGGGGGGGGGTGTCCATGTGGAGGACGTCACCTGCTCATGAATATTAATGAGGGGGGCTGGTCAATGGTGGAGTGACGTCACGAGCATTAAGAACAGACATTCCTGGGTGATTATAGTCGGTATTTTAGGCTCAATGAGGGGTTATCAAACTTTAAACTCGGAACCTTTTATGCACCCGAACATCGTGGTAAAGGGGCGAGGGAAGGGACATTGTAGCACTGGCACCTTTATTGATTACTGGCCAAAATTCGGACTCCAAAGTTTGAGAAACATGGTTATACGGGTATAAAGTGGCATCTAGACACGATTTATTAGATTATCAAAATATCAAAATCAGAATATGTATTGATACTGGAGGAATCCGATGAGCTATACATTTTCACAGATGTCCAGTAGAGGCAAGTAAGAACATGACAACAACAGACAATACAAAAACATGATAGTAGTCCACAGTACAAGAAAGGTAAAATGACCCAAACACACATACAAATAAAACTAAATCATCCTTATCCTACCAGGCAAATCCCACTGTGGTATTAACTTATTTTTCAGAAGCGATCTGGCCACAAATGATAACTCAACAAAGTGGCTTACCATTTGGACATTTATAGCAGCAAAATCTAAATAATATCGATGCATGTTTCTAAATGTGGAGGGGGAAACCGGAGGACCCAGAGAAAAAAATCCACGTGACCACGGGGAGAACATGGATTTTGATACAGCTGTCGTGGCTGTGACGGTTCTACCTGAAGACGGAAGCTTGTGTTGCCTCCGAAACGTCGTGATTTTTTATTTTATTTTACTTTTATTAATTTTAATGTTTTACCTACGTGACTTTACCGAAAAAACCTAAGAATATGAATCCTTGCAGTCACGAAAGCTTCAAATCTAGAATGGATTCTGTACTTGGGTTCTGTACAGTTTTTAGTTGAATGCTTTTGATGTAAATGTTTGGCTTCTACCAAAGTTTACCTGAATGGTCCTTCATGTACATGTAGTCAGGATATGATTGTCATGTTTATATTTGCAGAGTATCTGTATACATCTGTGCTTTTTTTCATTAGTATTGGAGATATTTATTGGCTACCATATCCGTGGTTTGGTGTTTAGTGTGTACTGTTGATGTTACGGTCTAACTAAGCAAGTGCATGTACATTTTATTTTATTTTACTTTTATTAATTTTAATTTTTACCTACGTGACTTTACCGAAAAAAACCTAAGAATATGAATCCTTGCAGTCACGAAAGCTTCAAATCTAGAATGTACATTGTTGTTTGTGCGTGTGTTTTAGTGGAAATTCGTGTATGAATGCGTCGGTAAACGTATCTTTCTGCGTCTCCATGTTGTCTCACTTAGGGTGGTATGTGGTGTGGAAACTGTTCCTCTCCAAGTTCAAGTTCCTGCGCGAGATTGTGGGAGAGACGCAGGCGCAGACGCAAGCCAAGCTGCGTGCGTCCGCCGAGGATAGCCCGACTGCACACGCGAAAGCTCGACACAGAGTCAGCTTCGAACACAGCGCTGCTCCTCCCATGCACAGCACGTACAGCCAGGGCTATTAATAACGTCGGGGTCTTCACAGCACCACATCACACCGTGCATATATCAAGCTGCTCAAGTACTGTAACAACGTGTGCAAAACCTTGAACACAGAATGTACAACAATCTGTTTCATATTATGCATATTCATGGTGCCTACCTTGCTTAAGTCGGCCGCACATTAGGGGCAATAAGGTCAAAGTGGCTCGTTTTGTAAGCCACTGAAAAATTTCCTGCCATAAATCGCCTCTTCTGCGCAGTATTCACTTTCATTATCAGACACCCTGACAAATATGACACTTATTTAATTTGGTGAATTACAAGCAGACTGCTTTTGTAAAAAATTGTTTCCAGCTGAATTGCATAGCGAGATATTTGAAAAAAATATATTTTTAATATTTAGCTATGTAATAAATATATTAAGGTTTCTTAATATATTTATTATACGTGTAAGCAAACTGTAAAAGGTTTTTAAAACGTGATTCGGCAATCGTGTACTAATTCAGTCGGGCAAGTGCAACATGCGACCCAGTTTTTTGTGCCCAATTTCACTCCCAAGTTTTGGTGGAGCCTGAAGCGCAAGCAAAGTTCAACAATTAATCATGAGGGGATGAGGCGAGGACATAATTCGCACTTAGTTGCTAAGATGTGGGATAACTGCCAATTGGAGACTCAAGCAATGAAAAGTGAACCAGGCAAAATTAACATTTACTTTCCTGTTTGCCTATCTTTGTATAAAAAACAATAATACCAAGTTGTCTCAATGTATGGCCAGCGTTAGATCCAGATTAATCGTACGTTGCCGATATCCATGCCTTGATCCATTTGTATTTTCTTCCACTGTATTTGCTTGTTCAATGAAAATGCCTTAGTTCTTTTTTAATCAGTGTTTTAAGTTATTGTCTTGAATCTATATAAAAAAGGACTTGGAAGTTGAGCATAAATCTTAACAGGATTTTATCACAAGGTGATATCCTTGTACCTAGATTCATCCTGAGCTAACGTGAACACAATTCATTGTACTGTGGTATGCAAATGTACTTGATTTTTTTTTTACCATAGCCTGTACTCCAGCTCATTGCATGGTCGTATCCGCGTGTTTAATCAAACCTCGCGGACGCTTGGGTCAGTGGGGGGGGGTCTGCGAAAGGTTCCCATGTGGGTAAATCCCACTGTGCACAAAATAACGTTGGCCAAGTGTCGTGTGTCAAAACAGCCTGTCCAAATTGCCATCACGACTCAACTGTGATACACGTGTTTAAGCTACTGTGGCTCTTAACAAATGTACAGGGTATACAGTACTGTATATTGTTTGTCACGCACACCCAATTGATACATTACCTATACTGTATTTACATTTCAATGGTTGGTTGAAATGGGGATATTTAGTGATTTTTGGGTCCATAGGACTGGAGTTGAGAACCACTCATGGTTAAATCATTTACTTGGCAACCTATTTACACAGCTATAAACTTTGTTGGATTACTGGAGGATCATGTGCATCTACAGTAAAGGAAAAGCTGCAAACCTAGCAATTGATTAAACACTCAGGCTGTGATATAATTACCTCAAGTTGCACAATATTTATGTATTAACCCTACGTGTAATATGAACTACTTGGCTAACTGGTAGCCTTAACATTGTTGCAGCTGTTAAGATACTTGTAAAATGAGAATGAGTTCCAAAGTGAAGAAACAGTACATGATGTTGAGATGTGCATTTTCAAAGTCATGGATACGAATGTACATAGCTGTGGCTTTGACAAAACATTTGGCGTTCTCCTGATTTGTGCACAATGAATGGTTTGTCTGTGCGTACCTTCGGCAGCAGGTTTAATTCATGGAGGGCCATCTACTGACAGAGCCGTGTGTCCCCGGCATTTCAAAACCATGCTTGATCGGAGCTGTAATCCTCAGAGCAACCTCGTGTCTCCATAAAATGTCTGGAGACATAACCCGGACCAAACGTCCATAAGCATACAGCAGTTTGTTTTTACGGCTGATGGCAAATGAGAAATCTGTGATGAAGAATTCTTACATTGAAAAAAATTATTTGCAGTAATAACTTTAAAATAACGAATATGGCGCTTGTAATATATTAATCTGTAGCAACTATGATTTAATGTTTATCCAGTTTATAAAAGCACCCCCTCGAGAGTTTTTAATTCCCAGTACATTGTAGAAGAACAGGAGAAAAACAGTGCTATACAAGAAACAGGCTCTAGTTGCATCAAGTAGCTTATCTCATAAAAAAGAAACATGCTTAGCCATTCCAGGGTTAGTTCCGGCTCATGTTGGCCAGAACTTTATGGTGGATCGTGCAACCATTGAGAGCTACCAAAATGGATCCCACTGCGTGGTGTATTGGCCACCGCTATGGTGTTCCACAAAGTTTAAGTTTTGGGCCTCTCAATCTCTTAATATACAACTACTGCCATGCCGGTTGCAAACCAGTGGCATATCTCCATTGATTGTTCGTTCTATCGTCATGCATTTATCGGTATCCTCTTGGATTTTGGCTCAGATTTTCACCAGGTGAATTTTTCCAATAACTGAATCTCCTCTTGGAGGAAGAACAAATTATTCAAAGTAATCGTTGGGCAGGTTTCTCTTTGCCATGAGCCTTGACAATCACCACCAAGAGCGTGTACCCCCCCCCCCCCTTCGCCTGCAGTGGAGCACAATTTATGATTATTGGTGCGAGGCCAGTAATAGCATACAGGGTATTAGAATGCAAAATATCCATGTCCGGATAAAGATACCATGGCATGTGCAGCACTATGTAGTGCACCCCCCCCCCCCCCCGTGGCCTGGTGCTAGCACGTTCACCGCTTGTTGCAGAGGTTCACGGTTCGAATCCAGCGAATGCCACGATTTTACCGCAGCTGTAAACACGTTCCTTCGGAGTGGGCAGCTAGGAACTTGGTTGGACAGCGCATTCGTGCACGACAGACATAATCTCTGGTGGGCAGTGTGGAACCTGTTGTTCCTACCTGTATAACCGCGATATGACGACGTTCTGTCTGCGTCACACGGCCTTGACACAAGCCGAACAAGGCGGTGGGACTGACTGCCCTCGAGGCCCGGGGCCACCGCAGCACCGCGTCCACGCCAGGGGGCCCTACGGCCCCTCCAGAGCACGCGGGGTCGCGGCGCTCTGGGCCCCGTGTGTGCGTTACCGCGAGCAGCGGCCCCAGCAAGAGGCTGTGTTCTCAAGCAAGTGGCCTTCCGTGTTTGTTGATAAACGAAGCTAATGGCAATATATACAGTCAACCGTGTATATGTATTTTAAGGCAGTGTTATCCACGATTGTGTTGGCTTTAATGACTTAAGTGGTGATTCGTTTTCCTCTCTTTGTACTGAAAAACGAATTTCTTCACATCATCATCAACCATGATCAATCCATTGCTGGATGAAGGCTTCCTCCAAGAGGCCGCTATCTTTCGTGATTCTAGGAAACCAGACGAGTGGGAAAGCAGCCAGAACCGGCGCCATCAATTGCCCAAGCTCTGTGGCCCTATATTGTTGGGATATTTGACCAACTCCATTAATACGTTTTTATACATGGAACAAATAGTGGCACCTATCCCATACAGATGGAACAGCTGGAGTCCACATTGTTGCTGTCCTGGCCAGCCAGGGTTACAGGAAGCAAGCGTCACGACGTTTGTGTCATCCACCAACCCTCTCTGCCCCCCACAGTGCTGGGTTACAGGCGCCCAGAGCCACCATGCCCCGGCATAACGAAGACAACGGAGCAAAAAGGTTGAAAAGCTTGGAGATGTTGCATGCTGGGAATTATACTGAGAGAAAGGTTAACGCATGGAGGTATTGGCGACATGCGCAGATTAGAAACATCACTGAAGAAAAGTGGTCATGGCCAGAAGCGATGGACCCCGACGGTTGTCGATAATGACGGAATGGCAGCCAGAGGATAGAGGAGCGACTGGACATGTGAAAAAGCTTCATAGCTCATCGGATTCCTCCAGTATCTAAATATATATTCTGATAGTACAATTCGTCCTGGAGGTGACGTACACGGTGGAGATGGAGCAATGAAATCAGCTTGTGTGCAGGTGAGTATCGTATATTTACTGATAAAGCAAAATCGGACCAACGACTCGGCAGGTGCCATGGGTTGACTGCTGTGCCAGGCTAGGTGCAGGAGGAAGCCACGGGACAGACCCAGGTGCAATGGGTTGACTGCTGTGCCAGGCTAGGTGCAGGAGGAGGCCACGGGACAGACCGAGGTCTCATGAGTTGACTGCTGTGCCAGGCTAGGTGCAGGAGGAGGTCACGGGACAGACCGAGGTCTCGGGAGTTGACTGCTGTGCCAGGCTAGGTGCAGGAGGCCACGGGACAGACCCAGGTTCCATGGGTTGACTGCTGTGCCAGGCTAGGTGCAGGAGGAGGCCACGGGACAGACCCAGGTGCCATGGGTTGACTGCTGTGCCAGGCTAGGTGCAGGAGGAGGCCACGGGACAGACCCAGGTGCCATGGGTTGACTGCTGTGCCAGGCTAGGTGCAGGAGGAGGCCACGGGACAGACCCAGGTGCCATGGGTTGACTGCTGTGCCAGGCTAGGTGCAGGAGGAGGCCACGGGACAGACCCAGGTGCCATGGGATGACTGCTGTGCCAGGCTAGGTGCAGGAGGAGGCCGCGGGACAGACCCAGGTGCCATGGGTTGACTGCTGTGCCAGGCTAGGTGCAGGAGGAGGCCACGGGACAGACCCAGGTGCCATGGGTTGACTGCTGTGCCAGGCTAGGTGCATGAGGAGGCCACGGGGCAGACCCAGGTGCCATGGGTTGACTGCTGTGCCAGACTAGGTGCAGGAGGAGGTCACGGGACAGACCCAGGTGCCATGGGTTGACTGCTGTGCCATGCTAGGTGCAGGAGGTCACGGGACAGAGCCAGGTGCCACAGGTTGACTGAGATCACTGCCAGATGCAACTTGCTGCACTTTATCTGCCCGGCATTCCGCTCGTTGTTGTGAGCGTCGCTCCTCAGCCGTTCGTTGTTGCTGGAGGGCGACTGCCTCCAAACTGTCCGGTGGCAGTGTCCTTTACTGAGCCTCCTCGTCCATGGACCGTGCACAAGTTGCGTGCTGCCGCAACAACAACAACACAGGTGGGGATAGCTGGCAGAGGTGGGACAAAGTCATTGTTATGCAAGTCCAAGTCGAGTCTGAAGTCCTCAAATTCATGACTCGAGTCTGACTCGAGTCCAAGTCACATGACTCGAGTCCACACCTCTGCCTCCTCGTCCATGGACCGTGCACAAGTTGCGTGCTGCCGCAACAACAACAATACAGGTGGGGATAGCTGGCACTCGACGCGGCCCATCAGGATGCTAAGGAAGGTCGGCAGGCAGCCTTCACGCGGCCCCCCTCTGTTGAGTAACGAATTCCATGAACAGGACGACTCGAACAGCGATGATCATCGATCTCCGCAACAACATCATCAGGATGCGGTGACGTGCATCGGCAGTTAGTGAATTATCATTATCATGGGACCTTTTTTTGCCAGTATCAAAAATTAAAGAAAGGTTTTTACCCTTTCTGGCAATAAAACAACAGGTGTTCAGAAAGTCAATTATTTTATTACTTCCCTTCTACGTGACTTTACCGAAAGAACCAGGAAGATGAATCCCTGCAGTCACGAAAGCTTTAAATCGAAATTTAGATCGCCTTTTGCAAGGAATCAAGTCTGCATCGACCACACACAGTGCTTGTGGTGAACGTGCACGCAAAAATGCGCTGATAATGATTGGCGTTGTCTTTGAAACTATTTGGCCACCACCAGCAGAGACAACCGCATTCTTTAGGGCCCAGTCTGGCCATCAGTGGCAGGCCAGAGAACGCCAAGAGGCAAACAGTATAAAGGCATACTCTTTGGTTCTTTCGGTAAAGTCACGTAGGTAGAAAATAAAATTTTATTTTTAGGTATAAAATAAAAAATGTAGGTAGAAAATAAAATTTTATTTTTAGGTATAAAATAAAAAAATTAGGTAGAAAATAAAATTGCATTTTTAGGTAGAAAATAACATTTTCTTTTCTTTACCGAAAGAACCAAAGAGTATGGATCCTTGCAGTCACGAAAACTTCAAATCTCGAAGGGAGTACAAAGGCAATGCAAGTATTAGAGGATGAGACCTCCTTTACCAGTGGCAAAATATAGTGATAGGTTTTTACCCTTTCAACTGGTACAAAAACTGACACCTTTATAAAAGTCATCATGTTGCGCAATAACCACAACACAAGCAGTCAAAATACAAACAAAAAGAAACAACTCTGATAATGATAATAACATGCACTGTCCTTGAAGTTGATTGGTCCACACCCGAGACAGCTTTTCTTAGAGCCTAGTCTCCACTGGTGTTGGACCAGATGACGCCAAAAGGCGTACAACTCGTATTACGCCTTTTGGCGTCATCTGGTCCAACACTGTGTAGCCTTGAACATGATGTTGGGTCAAGTGCCCTAAGCAAGCAGCACCCGACGACTGCCGCCCTTGGGAGCCGGTGAAGGGTGGAGCCGCGGTTCAGGGCGGAGCCTTTCCGTGGTTGTTCGCATTGAAGACGCGACGATTCAGAGAATTGTGTTTCATTGTTAGCAGGCCACCCCAGAGCGTTGCTCGCTGATTTGGACTTACTCCACAAGTGATAAGTAAAGTTTGACTTCCTCCCATCTCTCTCTCTCTCTGTGCACTACGTGGCCATGGCCAGCGTGACCACAGCCGTCACGCGGCTCAGCAGCGGCGTGGATATCCCACTCCTCGGCCTCGGAACGTGGAAGGTACCGATGGACAAACAGAGAGACACTCTCTGCTTGTGTGTGTGTCTCTGTGTGTGTCTCTGTGTGTGTCTCTCTCTGTGTGTCTCTGTGTGAGTCTCTCTCTGTGTGTCTCTCTGTGTGTGTCTCTCTCTCTCTGCTTGTGTGTCTGTCTGTGTGTCTCCGTGTCTGTGTTTTGTCTCTCTCTCTCAAATTTAGCATTCTTTGGAAGAACGCCATCAACCAGGTGGGGTGTTGACTGTTGTGTTGGCTGACTCTCTGTGTTGTATTGCATTATATTTCTAAGTTTACTTTGTTTACACTATGAGACCTCTTTTACCAGTGGCAAAATAGTGATAGGTTTTTACCCTTTCAACTGGTACAAAAATGACACCTTTCTAGTGTCAGTTTTTGTACCAGTTGAAAGGGTAAAAACCTATCACTTTACTTTGTTTGTTTTCTCAGTCATTCTTACCTGATGACGGTTGCTTGTGTTGCAATCGAAACGTCGTATTCTATTATTATTTAATTTCTTTCTACGTGACTTTACCGAAAGAACCAAAGAGTAATTCCTGCAGTCACGAAAGCTTCGATTCTAGTTTGACTGTATCGTTAAACCCACGAAACGTCGTACTCGAATGGTAAAGGTTGTGGGTTTTTCTCTCCAACACGCCGGTGTGCTGAACCTTACTGATCGGCTGTGTCGGGTGGTGGCGGGTTTAGCGACGGATTTATATTCATGCGATCTAACCGAAAGTAAATCTATTATGGAGAGAATATTGGTGGCGAAAGTCTACGTGCTAAGCTGTGCAAGGTTGACTTGAACTTGCCGTGGGGGTGGGGCCCTGCACGCGTGGTCGTCACAACTCGTTGTTCCACTTTTGAGCGCAGCAAAGCTTATGGAGACATCACGCTTGCACTCTTGACTGCAGAAAGTTGGGTGGGTGCGAGTTTTATCATGTACCCCATTCCTTTTTGAGACTGCATTTTTCTGCAGCAGAGATGCCAGACCTTGAATCGTAGCATGGCCAAGGTTTACACTTATCTTCTTGGTGTTGTTAAAGTAACGATACATTTTTTTTGCAAATGATGCTTGCTATTCATCATTGATAGTTTTTCTGATAAATAAACTGGGATGTTTGCCCACGTGACAACTTGATTTGATTGACTCTGTCAGGTGGTGCAGGGTTACATTTAAATAGTTGAAATTATTCCAACAGTATAACCTAAAATAAAACTGATTACGTACCATAATGTTGGACGAATACAATATCTGTTTATTTAAATAACAGTTGCCGAGCACGGTGACCAAGATGCCCAGAGGCCAATAACAAAAGTACGATTATAGTTGTGTTGTTCCGTACTTGATAAAGAGTAAGCGTGGGTGTCCTTAGTAGTTGATGGATATGGATTCTACTGCCCGTACTGCATAATCAGGATTGAAAACTCATTCCTTTCAAACTCATTTTTGTGCTTAGCTTGTTGTCCTTCCCCCGCAACTCCGATTAGCACGGTTGGCTAAGTACGGTGCGAAAGAAGTTCAACATATGCACCACACAGCCCTTGTGTCCATCCACTTCTGGATGAGGGTTTCCCAACCGTGGTGGGTCCTGGGGTCGTTGTCTGACCATACTTCACCATGGTGGGCAGGGCAGGTTGTGGAAGGTGGGG